AGAAGCAGCTGAAAATAAATAATTCATTTCAAAGCATACCTATTGCAACTTGTTTCTGAAACTCAGAAACTGTGTATCCTAATGACACTTTACTTGCTGAACTGTGCTTTGATTTTCTGATATAATACCACCACGCGTTTGTTGTTGTTGTTGTTGTTGTTGTTGTTGTTTTTTAAATGATACATGGTGACATTGTAGGATAAATACTACTAGGTTTTTAATTCAAGTCTTTTTGGTCAAGTGACATAGAATATCTGCTGAATGCTTTAACCATATAGAACTGTTTTAAAAGAATAAACTGGTAAGCATGTGTGACAAAAAAGTAAATGAGAACTTGAAGTAAATAAGCTATGAGGCTACCCAGGGACCAATGGGAATAAATCAAAATGTTGAATAGCAACTTACTCAGCAAGTGCTCTCCACGGTATTCATGGAATGAGGCGAGATCCCATGAAGAAACAGTATGTAATCACATAACTAAAGTCCTAATGCAAGGGTCAGAACTAAGGCCCGCTCTACATGTAATGACCGGGTTAATTACACTATTCATTTGGACTGGCTACACAGGCAAATTAACAATTGCGCCATAAAAAGCTCCAATCAGCTGTATTGTTCTAAAATGTGTGCTAGCTTTATAGCTGGTTGCTATCCAGCTTTAATTTGCATGTGTATCAGTCTCCTTCAGTGGCTGGGACCCCCATCAGCTGATCGGGTTCCAGCCGCAGGGGTGCACCATGCACAGCTGGAGCTGGCAGTCCCACCAGATGAGGGGACTCATAGCCCTTGCCATGCCAGGCAGCTGTGGATTCTGAAGCACCCTGCAGCTGGGAGACAGCAACTGCTGCTGTCTCTCAACTGCAGGGGTATGTGGTGTCCCCCCAGGGCTGAGAGATCACAGCCACACTGTGCAGCTGCTGACACTGAGTATCCACAGCTGCAGGACTCTGGATCCCAGCAGCCACAAGGCATGGCTGCAGTTTCCTAGTCCTGGGAGTGTGTTGGGCACCCCTCGGCTAAAGGGGTTCCCAGTAGTGGGAGTGCCAGCAGGATCTGAACCCGGGCTCACCTGGCACTGGCAATAAGGCATGAGGAGATCTGAGATGCAATCCCACAGTTATGCCTCCTGTCATGTACATGTGGCATGGCAGAACAGTGCTGTGGCCTAGAAGTTTGGTGCCCAGGGCAAAGCCTGCAGCAGTGGCCTGCCATCACACCTGCACATGGATCCAGGGGGCATATGCCCCCCACCCCATGCTTGCCCAGGAGTGCATGCAGTGACAGGAGCTGCCCCCCTCCTCTATCTCTGCAGCCTCCAACCCCCAAATGAGCCGCTTGCAACTCCGTCCCATGCCCCACCCTGGCTGGGAAGCGCCTGTTGGCACCCCTTTGCTTTGGCACCCGGGATGGTTGCCCTGCTCATTGCCCCACCTCAGTACTACAGCATTGTGGCAGGAAGCGCGATTGTGTGGATCACGCATTAGATCCCATTGTGCCTTTACTTGCCCATTCGAGCATTGCTATCCTCTGAATGGTTGACTTTGCAACTGTAACATTCTTTCTAACATTGTCTCAAGCATGCTGCAGGATGGAGGGGGGAGGAAGTAACTTCTGAGGTCTTAAAAGTGCAAACTGAGAAAAAAATTTCTGTCATGTGGCATTGTACTGACAATCACATGGGTCACTGGCTTCAGATCCATAGCAGAGACCTTTGTCATGAAAGCTGATGAGGTAACCAGTAACAGTAATAGGTTGTTAACTTTTTATGAAGACCTGTCACTAAATCATGGGTGAGAGATGCATACCTTAGTCAGTAGCCTTTCCAGCTGTTTGCTGACGGCAGAAGGATGATAAAGCTTAGGAATCCTGGCTTCCAATCCAAGTCAGAGGTGTGGGGGGCATACTTCAGTGGTCACAGACACTTTTTACTTTATTTTTCTTCAGTCTGTCATGTAACAACTTAAAAGTTCATGCTGAAGTTTTTAAAAAAATAAATAAATAAATGTTTAAGCCTGACATGGAGAGAGAGCTCTAGGAAAAACATCAGCTTGCTAGTTTGACAAAGATACAATCAATTAAAATGGAATATTAGACTGGACAGCACCGGGCTACTGGAAAAAGGCAACCTCTGTTTTGACCTTTTCCAAATGTGTGTTCAACTTAGCTTATTTGACATAGATGTTTTACGTGTGGGTATGATGAAATCACATTGTTCCTTTTAAACATAAATGGCATTTTTATACAACAGGAAAGGTGGGTAAGAGTGGTTTTTAAAAATATCATGAAAAGGTGGCTTTTCTCTAAGAGGGAATGATTAATAATGGATAACCAAGCTGAAGCATCTGTTTCTGCATTGCCAGTTGTGTTTGGCTGCTTGAGTTGAATAGGATAAAACAGTCTCTTTGGCCCCCTCTACACGTTATATGCATTGCACAATTAACTTGTTAATTGAGCAGTTACCTTAAGACCAGCTACATGGACAAAGTAACTATAGCTGGTTGGAGCTTTTTATCATATGATAAAGTTAGACACTGAAAATGTGCACTAACTTTTTAGCTGGTCACTATCAAGCTTTAATTTGCATGCGTAGCAGGGTCTCTCGTGTGGCTGGGGGCTCCATCAGCTGACAGCACTCCCAGCTGCAGGGGTGCACCGTGCCCAGCATGAAACCCCGAGCCCCAGAGATTGTGGCTGCCGTGATCCCTAAGACTCGAGTGCCTGAAACCCCCAGCCCACAAGGGGCACTTGGTCCTGGCCGTTCCTCACTCGCACCCAGAACCAAGAGCTCTGCAACTGATGGGGCTACCAGTCCCAGCTGCACCACACTCGCAGCCAGGGCTGAGAGCCCCACAACTGATGGAGCTTCTGGGCCTGGCTCCGCTGTTGGTTGCTTAAGGCACAGCTGGAACCAGCAGTCCCATCAGTTGTGGGGCTGAGAGCCCCATCAGCTGCAGGGTCTTTCAACCCGTTGTACATGGCCCCTACATCTGGGAGCCCTCTCAACAAGTGGGACTTCCAGCTGTGGGACCTTGCTTCTTGCCAGGATGGACTCCCCCTGCACTGGCAATAAGGTGAGATTGGCTCTAATGTATGATCCCACAGTTGTGCCTCCTGCCATGCATGTGTAGAGGGGACCTTTCTCATATGCACAATTTCCTGCCGCAGCTTTCTTTAGATCAGGGGTCAGCAACCTATAGCCTGTGGGCTGGATTCCACTCACAGAGCTGGGACTTCAGTGTGAGGGGGGGGCCTCCGTGGCTTTCAGCAAGGGGCTTTTTCCATGCCACAACTGGGTGGCTGGGCAGTGAGGGGAAGGGCTGGTTCCTAACACTGACCCACCTTTGACTCATTCTGGCCGGCCACCAGGAAATATTGCTGACTGCTACTTTAAATGCTCAAAGCATGAGAGAGTGAGGCAGTTCGAATTGGTTGAAATAACTGTTATATCTGGCTTTCTCTCATGCAAAGATTCATTTGGAAAGCTGCTTGGATCCCAAATGACAGTTTCTGAATATGAACATCATCACATGGTTGAAAGGAAACAATCTATGGATGGAAATGTTCATATCATACAGTCTTGTCATTGTTGCCTCCTGTGGTGTTGTTTTATTCTTTCTTTTTTTGTCACTTGGTCATTTTATTGCACTCATTTTTGTATGTCTGATTTTTTGGGGGTATTGTTTTTGCTTTGTCTTGTTATTTTTATTTGGACTTGGTAGCTTGATAAAGCTGCTGGTTTTCATAAGCATTTTATGTTATTTACATTCCATTTTCATGCCATACTAGAGTTGGTGACCATATTCCATCGGTGGAAGAGAGGAACCAAAGCCGCTGGCTGTACTTCAGGTGATACTATGGCTTCCTCAGTACAAAATTAATCTGGTGCTTGGCTCTCTTCATCTTTCTAACCTGAAATGTGTGTTATTTTCCTACACTGTGGCATGCTGCTTTTTTTTAACTGCTGAGGACTTATACAATTTGTCTTGTTTCTTGTTTTTTGCCTTATTCATGTGAGCTGAAAGGTTTTGGTATCCACTATCCAGTCTTCCACTTTGTTTTTTCCCCACTTTTTAATTCCCATCTATGTCTGGAAAACACAGCCATTTAACCTTCAGCCCACACTTGGGAGGGAAAGTCAGACAGTTCAAATGGAGTCAATATATCCAGCTTCAAATGACTCAAGAATTAGATTTTGATTTTATAATTCTTAATCACACAGGTATTTTTAGTGACTTCTGTGGTTTCATGAGACTATTTCTGGAAGTACGATTGACTCAAAGTTAAGGTTGCAGAATTGTCCTATATTTTAATCTTTACGTAGAAAGGAGCTAAAGAGAGTTTGTCCATTGAGTTCAGCGTGAGTTAGATTGCAGTTTCCAAAATCAGTATATGGCCAGACAGGCTCTGCAAGTGGTTACTAATGGAGTATATAATCATAATTTTTGGCACATTATTAATGTACCCTGTTATACTGCTGGAGTTCCAGGCATCTCTTTGGTTTCCAGAGCCACAAGGAGGTCAGCACCAAAACAAGCTTCACAGAAAATCAGAGTAGTTAAAATACTAGCAGCATTCATGCCCAGCTACTGCATATGTTGAGATGTCACCTGTGGTGTTAAGGTGCCTCCCATGGTTGTAAGGTGATTTTGGGGCCCTTCATTTCAGCCTTTTGGGAGGGCTGAGATCAAAAATATCCCCAAAATCAAGCTCTACTCTTACATGGTGCAGGGGAAATGGCGCTTAGTTTGGGTTTTTGGTTTGGTTTTGTTTTGGTTTTATTGTAGAATGTTTTGCCATCTTTTTATTTTGTGTTAATTTTCACCTTGTTTTTCTGGGTTTGTATGTATGAAGGAAGTCACTATGATACTAGCATCATTATTGCAAGGGACAGGGGAGACCTACCTCACAGCAGTAATGGGGTGATGTCAGGCTTAGTGTTAGTGTTCTAGGTTGCACATCAGAGTGGGAGCAGGTGGTGCTGTATTTCTAGATCCTTTCAAAAGAAAATAGATTAAAAATTGTTGTTAAAAGGGAAAGCTTGGTAGTTACTGAGGTGTAGAGACCCTTTTTGTTTTGGCACATGAAGTTATGAACTCAGTGGTAGTCTGTTTGCCGTTGAAAACTGTCTTCAAAGCAAGGAAAGAAAAAAAAAAAGCTGCTTACATTCTGAAAATAATGATTTATTTCCATAAGAGTTTACACTCTCACCTAAAAGAGCTTGTTTTCTTCTTCAGTTCTCTTCCTGTATAAATTCCACTGAACCTCCCAAACCTGCCATGAATAAGTTGACTAAGCAGTATGTTCTAAAACTATCTGAAATCATCAGATATTTAAATAACAATAGCAAATTAATGCTGAAAGGAGAAATCCTTCTTTATGTTGTGTGGTTTTAGGTGTCACAAATGGCTTTTCTCATATGATACACCTCAGCCAAGTCTTACAACTATCTCTTGGCAAATCAAATGCTTTTCATCTGTGCAGTCACAGAAGCCACATAATACTGCCACCTTGGAGTTTCAAAATGGTTAGCACAGAAGATGGAGATGGCTGCTGGCAGACCTGCATTGCCATGTTCTTGGCCGCACTGCAACTGCCATGCTCTTCAGTTCACATAATTTTGTCTCTGCTGCTTCAACATTAGATGCTCTGTGTTTATAGACCAAGGCTTGCTTGTTTACCTGGCTTGCCAGTACACTATTTAAATAAAATGCCAAGATGACTTGGATTGCTGCTGCCACTGTGCACCTGGTATAGAAGAGAGAATCTAAGTAAATTGATCCAGTATTGAACATTTTTATTTCATCAGGATTCAGATAGAGGAGCTCCAGATTTTCATGTGTCATTCATCCTGATTGCTTGTAGAATACCCAATTAAAGGGGAACCACTTTGCTTAGCGAGATCTTTTTCAAGAACCAAACTGAGCTTTGTGTCAACTCCAGTGTGAACTTAAACTTTGATTGCACTAAGCTGTGCATGCAGGAGTAGTAGGAGTTGTCATGAATTGTAGTTAAGGATTATTAATCAAATTTGCTTACTTAATTAAAATGTCACCTTCCTTGTGGGATCACTGGTAAAAAAAAAAAAATAAAAATAAAAAAATAGTAGTGTTAAATTTAAACTTTGAAAAAAAGGAGCTTGCTTACAGGAGAAAGTAAGCGAAAACTCCCCAACCAAATTAAACACAAAAAAACTCAGGTAAAGAAACGAAAATCTTAAATCCTGTACAGAGGCTATTAGTCGCACAAGTCTCCTAAATCAAATAAAAGCAGGAGTCAAGGTAAAAGGCAGCATGGTTCAAAAGGGTTCATATGAAGTGGTTGCTTGCTGTAACAGGAGACTAAATTTGCTGATATGAGTGTTTTCTTCCAGCCCAGTGTCCCCAACTGGGATCTCATTCAAGACTGGTTATTGGTTATTAGGGGCTGAAAGGTATCCTTTAGAAAGTGGAAATCCAGGGCAAGTGAAACAAAGAAAAAGGAGTTATGAAAAGATTACAGGCTATGAAATGGAATTATGAAGGATCAGGAAATTTGAAGAGCAAATAAAAGGTTTCCAGTGTTTAAAGTCTTTATGAGATGTGAAAAGAGGTTGTGTTGAAGTTCAACTGTAGGGAAGGTAAAACACTAGATGCTCAGGGACTGAACACCCTGGGGCTAGGAACAGAAGTTACACATAAACCAGTTTAAGTGATCAGAAACTGGTTTAAACCTGTAATAGAAGAGATGTTCAGTAAAATAAACCCATTTAAAAATGGCTGAAACCGGTTTGAGATAAACCTGGTTGAACATAGTATCAGACTTAACTGCTTTGGGTCAAACCAGTGTATGCAATGTCTGTCCCAGACCCCTTCCTGGTTTAAGATAAACCAGACTCCCCCAGCATGCTGTCTGGGCTCTCTGCTCCACAGCACGGCTGGTCCCTCCCTTCTGCTCCCTGGCTGGCGTTCTGGCAGAGACTGCAGACACAGCAGGGTCTGCCTGGCTTCCTCCTGCCCCACTGCCGCTCACTGCTTAAGCAGGGATCCCCCCTCCCTCCCTCCTATTTCCCATAGCATGGACCCCAGCCCCACAGACCGTAGGCATGTGGTATGCTAGCTAATGCTGAGAGGTGTCTGTGTACATCTCTCTCCAATTTCACTGGGACAGGCAGACAACAGTGACCGCTTAGGGCTTTTTGGAGCTAATCAACAGGTCAGCTGGTAAGCTGTTTTAAGAAGAATTTGAACTAATGGAGAGAGGCTATTGTTTTGCTGATGGGGTGATAAACACTGTTATCAGCCCCCTGCTGGCCTGCTTTCCTGTCAGTTTGCTGCAGACAGTATAAAGAAGCATGGAGGGAGACTGAAAAACTCCATATCATCAACAGAAGCATGCACTGTACACCCTCCTTTGCCTCAGAGTGCTACCAAGGGGCTGGAGTCTGGCAACACTCCCGCCCCTTGAGCAGGCAGCAGGAAAAAGCCTGGGGCCATGCAGGCAGACCTCCCTAATCAAAGTGTCCTGCCAGGGCCTGGCCACGCCCCCATCAGCTCAGCTCTGTAGAAGGGAAGGGAGGGCCGTTGTAGCCCCAGCTCCCCCAACTTCTAGCATGAGCCACTGCAGGCATGTACCTGAATTTCCTCAGGCCAGAAAGAATGTCTGTCTGGTTACAGACTGGTTCAGCCTAACCAGGTTACATTAGCCTGCAAAGATTGAATCAATTCAGGCTCAGGCTTTTTGAATGTCTGTCCCTAGCCAAGTTCAGTGCACATAAGCCGGTTTCAAAATGGTCAAAACTGGTTTGAGATAAACCTGGCTGAATGTAGAATTAGACTTAACTGATTTGGGTCAAACCAGTTTATGCAAACTTCTGACCTAGACCCACTCTTGGTTTAAGTTTAAAAAAAAAAAAAAAGAGTCCCCTAGCATCCCAGCATGCTTTTCAACCATGGCTGGGCTGTGCTGTCTCTAGCTAGAGCAGGTGTGGAGCATGGCCAGACACTGGCTGGCATGGCCTTCTGAGGCAAAGGAAGTTTATTTCCCCCCCTCCCTCCCCTCTCCCATTGGGGGACTGCATCTGGGGTCTGCCTGGCCAGGGGGTAGTAGCCCTTGCCAGCCATTCCCCACCTCTCCCTACTCCAGTGGCAGGGGAGAGAGCATGGCCAGAGTCAGCTGGTATGGCCCTACCATCTGCCTGCCTTGCCAGCAGCTGGGGCTGTGGGGCTGAGCCGGCCTGGCCTGTGGATGCAGAGGAGCCATCCTGGGTTGGGCTGCAGGGCTGGACCCTTCCCAGCTGGCTGCGGCTCAGGCTGGGGCCATGGGGGCTGCGCAGCCACATTGCTCCTGGCTCCCCACACCCAGGCCAGATGGGGCTGTCATGGAGCTGCAGCCAGCTGGCAAGGGCCCTTTCCAGCATCTGTGGCTCTGTGACAGCCTGGCCCAGTAGCACAGGTGGAGCTGGCTGGGTAGCAGGCTGCCTAGGCCAGCTTGGAGGTGCGGGCAGGCCCCAAGCCCAGCCTGTTGCATCTGTACCCCCGCCCCCTGTCCTATGCAGCACTCTGTGGCTGCAGCCATATCACAAGCTGTGGCCTGGCCAGCGCCAGGCAGGCTGTTCTGCCTTCTGCTAGGCTCCAGCTCTAGCTCCTGGATGCCTTCCACCTGCACTGCCTGCAGGGGCTGCTTGTTGCACTGCGTGGATGGAGCAGATGGAAAGCAGCTGGAGCTGGAGCCAGAGCTCTGTGCACTGGGTGGAAGCCAAACGGCACTGTGCGGGGTGGCAGGAGCAGGAGCTGTAGCTAGAGGTGAGGGGAGCAGAACAGCCCTGCCGGGCCAAGCCAGCTTCCTCTCGCCTCCAGCAGCTCCAGCTCTTGGCTGCCTTTCAACCAGTATGCCCGCCTGGCACAATAAGCAGCCCCTGAGCAAAGAACTAAATATTTTCTTTGCTTCTGTCTTCATTGTAGAGGATACTGGGCATCTATCCTTTTTGGGGGCAGTGTTAAATGGAGTTGATTGAACAAATTGATAGAGGAGTAAGTTACCAGTTAATATGCATCCAAGTATTTAAGCTGAGCTGCTAAGAGAAGTAAATGTTTTCATTAATGCTAGCTACTATGTTGGAGAACAACAAATATTTATACCTATTGAAAAGACACTAAAAATGACCCTGGGGGTTGCAACCAGTAACTATAAACTTAGGAGACCCAGTAAATTGGCCCTAGAGTTTAAAGGTAGAACTGATAAAATGCTGAACAGAGCATGTATTTAGGCAATAATTAAGATGGCTCCTACAATGAAACGTCCTACTAGGACTGCTCAAAAAACAGATCTCCTCCCTGAACTGAAGAAAACCTTGATTAAAAACTTGGGTGGAGGAGAGAGAAAGACAACTTCATCACAACTTTGATCAGAAGTTTCAATGTGGGAAGTCTTAGATAAAGGCTAAAGTATTTCACTTTGGAAAGGCTACCACATGAAAGTTGCAATTTGAGTGACCGATTCCCCTGTTCTCCTCTATAGTCTGGGCTCTCTAGTCAAACTGTATTGCTGTGATGCACCAAGGTCTGCCCCAACCAGATCATATCCTAGGATAGAGTTGGAAAAGGGGATCACAGAGTGGTGGCAAACTTTTGTAGATGGCCCACAATCATATAAGTTAAGACAAAGCTAAAGAAAATCTATGTACTAAAGCCAAGTGAATGTGCAGCACAGTAGGAAATGAAATTTTCTTGACCGATACAAGACTGTACTCTGGAATGAATAATTTGAACTACTCATTCACAATGCTGGGTCTCAGATTAACTGTTGGCCCTCAGCAAATAAACTGTTATTGTGGACACTTCTACATGTATGCTTTAATGCACACTAGCCTATTTTACTGTGCATCAGAATGTCACAGCAAAAACCCTTCTAATATACTGATGCACAGTAAAATTAGGCTACCACACATTAAGCATCACTAAAAATGTGTGCACTTTTTATACCGTGTTTTAGGGCAGCATAATACACATTTAGTTGGTACCTCACATTAGAGGTCCTAATTTTTAATGTGCAGTAGCAGAAGCTCATTAATGAATGTGTAGGCACACACTGTGACGAGCAGATGTCACCAGAGCTCTCTGATGTGCAATAGTAGTCAGAAAGGCAAAAAGTATAAGTATATAAAAGTAATGGACTAGGTAACACACAAGAATTTTATGGATGGTTATTTTTCACTAGGTTGATTTAATAAAAAAAAAAGTCACTCAATTCAGTATCTGGTCTTCAGTAGTGGTCCAAATCAGTTCCTTCTAAGGGAGGTGCAAGAAATCCTACAGTAGGCAATTAGGGATCAACTTGCCTCCAGGGAAAACTTGCTCCTAACCTCTTGCCATCAGTGATGAATGAGTTCTTCAGTAAAGCATGAGATTTAGCTAAGTGTATAGCATTAAGAGTAAGGCTCCTAACTGTGATTTTCAGCTATCTGGTTTCTTGCCCTTTCCTCTGAAACAGCTAGTACTGACCACAACCACAGATGGTAGATTCGATTAGACAAACCACTGGGGATTCCCACGTTGTTTACAATGACAAAACTTTGTAAAAGATGGAGCAAATTGAGATTATGAATTGTCTTCTAAGAAACGTTTTTGATCCGCTCTCAAGAAACATATTTAAAATGTAAATTATTGTATGTTTAAGCCATTTTCAGCTCTGTAGCATTGCAGTACTTATGAATATACAATTTGCCCTGTCAGAAACAGGTTGGTCTGATCATTAGCCTCTTGTTTTCTTCTACTGGTGTGTTCCCTGCAGAATGGGGAAGCTCTGCTTTTACCAATCAGCACAAAAATGACATTGTCATAGGTTTAAAGGAATCAGCAGCAATGATAGCCGGTCAAGGAAGTGGGTATTAATTTGCTGTTAAGCTGGCTGTAATAATCTCTTGCCTGGAGAAGGATGCTGCTTGACTTAAAAAGGAGCTTGTTGGTAACTTGGCTATATACCTGCAATGGAAATATGAAAGTCTTCCTAAAATGACTTACGTTGAACACTTTGAATGCATTTCAATCAACTGCTCATGCTTCTTTAAAACATGCTTTCTCTGCCATCTGTGATACTTGTGGCCCTCCAATAATGCAGTCTGGTTTGTTTTGTTTTCCTGATGTTTCTGTAGGGTTGGTGTTGACCCAGATCAGGATCCCCCACCCAGCAATGACAGCTTTCAAGTCCTGCAAGGGGTAAGTGACTGAGTATGTGTGTGTTAATTTGGTTATAGCCTATGAAACTAGACAATCATGCAAAAGTTATGATTTTTTTTTTTCTTGCTCACAAACACTGCAGATTGAAGAATATACTATTTCAGAGTGTGCTTCTCAAAGTTGTTATATTAACTTAGGGTGTATGTGTGTTTTTCAAGACAGCAGAAAAGTCCATGAAACTACAAGTTGGGTGCATGCTATATAGTATATGCTTTTTTCCTAGTAGGAATTCCTGCTTTCTTGGTTTATAATTGACCACTTGTGATTCAGAAGGTTTAAGAGCAGTAGATAGAGATGAGTTCTCTTGGCTTCTGTTCAGTGACTTGTACCAAAATTTGCCCTTTTAACCAACTTGAAAAAAATACCATAAAGATTTAGTTTGCTAATCTGTCAGCTACTTTATATTCTGTAGCAGCCTAATTCAGCCTTGCCCATATACTCTCCACTATCATTGCAAGGCTAAGCAAATGTCCAAATTCACCTTTGCCATTAGTGTGGTATCTTTTGCTCTGATGCTGAGGAAGCAATATTTAAACAATGCTACAATCGCTGGCGATCCCTTGAGACAAGGATGACTGTCTTCCAGTAAATAGGCAAGTTACTGGTGAGTCCAAAGATGACTGAGGAGGCCGATACAAGATCCACATGTTTGAGTGCAGTGCTACAGTAGTCAGAAGCCTTTTTCAAGTGAACTTGGAACTATCATATTTATAGAAATTATTCTCAAAGTGCAGTACAAAACCTTTGGCGTGTGATTTTGTTATCAAAGTCACTGAGCTACAGCTCCATTTGAAATCGGTCAGAGTTCAGGGACTCGGCACTTCTGAAAATTAGGCACTTAAAAGCATCCCTGAGCTGATGGAAGAACAGAGCGGAGACACTGTGTGCTTCTCTAAGTCTGCTGCCAGTGGTTACCATCGTGCTGTTCCGTGGGATCTTTTTAAGCCCTTCCAACTGACCTACCACCCTCGGCTCTAAAGTTCCCCTTATGTCAGTGCTTCTGCAGTGATATTATTAGGATTCTCACTACCTTGGGCTGTTTTTCTAGAGGGTGCTATGGTTGCTTCACACTTAGTCTTGCTGGTGCAAACTGTCCACAGTGCAAGGGTGAATCTCCCTATCTTTGTTTTAATTGGAATGAGATTGAATTACTGTTTACATTTACCTGTTTGTCCCAGTCCAATTTGCCATCAAATATCTATTGAAGTGATAATCCCCACTACAATTTGCAGGTTCATTTGTCTATAAAAGTGTGTCACTTCCAAATAACAAATCTCCAAGGTCCCTTGCAGTGAGGATTCACAACAGGAGTAAAATGAACATGGGAATGGACTACTCTATCTACTTGAATAAGAGTTTTCTCTGCACAAGGCCTCCTGCATCATTTGAGGCCCACTCCAGCTCTTAATTCAGAGCCTGAGTTGCATGTACCCTATGTACTGAGTTAAATTAAGATGATTCCGTAAAACAACTCTGAAATGGATTAGAAGCAGGGGGTGTTAAACTCACCCGTGCCCACTGGCATCAGTGAAGTGAGTGGTGGCACGAGAGGCCATTGCTCATCCCCCTGCCACCAACATATGTCCCCAGCAGGGCTCTGTAACTGGGAATTCTGCAACAGGTCCCACTCACAAATTTCTGGCCCCTCTGGGAGCCCTGCAGACCAGATCTGTCCATATGAATCCATATGTTTGATACCCCTGCATTAAAGAAACAGACCAATTTAAGGAAATAACATGAACAGGAAACACTAATGGACTTTGACCTGTAGCCTGTACAGGGTCCCAAAGTTTCTGTTCCAGGGACTGCAGGTACAGAAAGCTGGTATTCTGTGCATCTGTGCAGCCCCTCTCAAACCTGTCACATGGGAGCAAAAGTTCTTCAGTTGTCTTCCCTGTCTTGCTATTTTCTGTTGCCGATAAATGACATAAATAAATTATTTATATGACAGCATCTTTTTTTATTGCAGAAACTGAGCTATACACCTCTAGTTGAGTTCCTTGTAATATTAGGTCCAAACTATCCCTGGTATAATTCCACTGGATGCATTATATGTGACTTGGTTAACAGATTGGGATTAGGGTAACACCAAAAGTAGATTTCAACACCTGTGCCTGGAAGCTACTGGAAAGCTCTAAGAAGAGGCCCAGTCCATTTCCCAAAGGAGCTAATGGAAGCAGAAAAAGACCTGAGCTTAGGTTGCAGTGCTAGTGCAGGCTAGACTAACCAGTATATAAAGAACTGCTTGCAACAGAAATAAAGACTAAGTGTATTATTATAGTCACATGGACAGCACTGAAGTTGAAATAAAAACCCTGTCATTTGTTTTACATTCCTTTCATATGGATGTACACTGCTTATCTATATAGTTTCCCACTTAGCTGTGTGTACTGTATTGATAAGGAAAGCCCTTGGCTATAATTCCTGTGGGAATTCTCCTGTTTCACAGGTCCATGGTTAACAGCAGGGCACAATAATAGCAGAATTGCATATCATTTGGGAGGGGAAAATAAGCTGTTTACTAAGACATTAGGCTTTTGATGAGGGTGCCTTTGCCTTTTCTAAATTGGAAATCACGAAGATAGCAGAATGGTTTCACCATTATTCCTCCACTAGTTTCATATAAGACATATTCCCACTTCATCTGGTTTTCTGAACTCAGTCAGGTGGCTTTTAACCAAAAAGAAAGAAGCAATAACAAAAGTAAAAACAAATGCAGCTGGACACCATCTGGTCTGATCATTTGTAGTATGGCTATTAAAATAAAAGGATTAAATTTAACACTTTAACACTTCTGAGACTTAGCCTCATCTGGCATTTATCAACTCCTTCATATCCCCAAATATAATGTATCAAGCCTACTTAGATGGATTCCCTGATGTGCTTATTTCTTTTAAGTGTTAGTGACGAAGTATAATTTATATCTCAAATTCATCAGGCATGGTAAAGCCTCTTGTTCGTCCCCGGAAAAAAGAAGCTTAAGGCAGGGATATCAAATAAACCTGTATTAAAGGAAGCCAAAGTAGAGATGAATAGGAACAAACCTGAAAATATTCCAGTTCATTCTAGTTAGGAAAGCTGTCCACGCCACCTTGCCTTACATGAAACATATTTATCAAGGAAGGCTGAGTTTTTAATTGCAGATTTTTCCCACTGCATTGACTGGATCACAAGAGGATAAGTGGTATGTTAGCAGTGGACTACCTCATTTTAGACCAAAGGAATCTTTTTATTGTTAACAGAATTCGGGCTGAATATCACTGTAGTACAGAGGGCCCTGAGGCATAGCATCTGGCTTCTGAACCAGCCAAGGTTGTTCCTCGCCTCACTGATCTGACAGGGGTAGATGCTTACTAAGAGTGAATGTATATGTCAATTTGAGTAGAAATATGTTTGATTTAAAAAAAACCCCAAAAACAGACTGCACTTTCTCCCCTCATTCTCAGGATGGTCCAGATTCTGAGCGAAGAAATCGGACAAAGCAGGAAAGTGCTTGGCTCTTCAGGCTGTGGTACAGCTTTGACCACAAGTATCCTTTTAAACGAGCATTGCCTTGCTTCAAGAGGTGGAATGTAACATAAAGTACAGTGGGTTTTCTGCCATCTATCACTGTTTAGACTTAATGAGCTAAAGCTGAGTTTTCTTAAGGACATTCAGCAGAGGACAAGTAAGGACCAAAGAACTGTGCACAGGTGTGTTGAAATAGTTGTAGCTGTTTTTAAATCCTTAAGATAACCTTGTGGGTAATTGGAGCCACTGTCAAAGTATTGTTTGACAATAGACCAATTGTTAGTCAAGCAGTTTTGATTCTAATACTTAGATTTTTTCTGTGATATTCTGTGTGTTAAGAAGAGGGAAAGAAAAATATCTGGTAGCATTTAGCTGCCGTTTACAAAGGAAGCAGACTAAGCTGACTAAGCCACCATCCCTCCTTCCTCAAGGATGTGCCTTTTAATAAACTAGGGCTTCTTGGCACCGTGCATTTCCTCTTGTCTGACACTGGCATGAGCACAGGCTTCAGCAGGTGCTGTGGAGGAGGGGGGACATTGGCATAAAGTAGCCTAATTCACTGTCTCACAGATGGAATTTTAAAAATAAAAGATTGTCTCCTAAGACACTTGCTTCCTCAGAATGACTGCTAGGCTTTGTGCTCATGGGACTTCAGAATTGGGAAGCAGAATGTTGCTGTTTTCAGTCTTATAAAGTTAAAATTCTGGCCTTAGGATGACAGCGCCAGGGAGCAAATCAAGCAATACATTGTGCCAGTTCAGCAGCCTGCCACCCTGGGCCCCAACTTTAAATGTGAATCTTTAGATATCTTTCTCAACAAGTTAATGTAGGATTAGAAGAGATCCAGAACCATGGCACCCCAGTCCCTTGCTGACAGCTATGTGATAGATGTTGTGTCAAAAGGGTCTACCAGAACATTCATTCGAGGCCCCATGCGTATGCAGCAAAGCTCAAAGCACTTTCTAAACCTTATCACAGGCTTGGGAGTCTTAATACAAAAAACCCAAATCCCTCAAACTGCAGTGTGCCACAGGACAGATCAAGTGTGTTGCCAATGCCTTGGGCCCATGAAAAGGTAGGTAGGAAACTAGTCAAGTAGCTCACAAGTGAAAGAGTTTCATTCCAATCTTTACTGGCTGCTGTGGAATTTTAATAATAAAGGGCATGAAATATTCCGAAACAAGATATGCTGGCATAAAACACTATTTCCTCAGGAAAGTGTGTGGAGAATTTATTCATATTGCTTAAGCAATATGAATATGCAGGTTGAGGCTATGCCATTTTTTATTCTCTGAGTTTACCTGCAAATGTGAAAATGTAAGGAAGAAACAGCTATTCCCAAGTGCTAAATGTCTTAATTATTTTTGTTCATTATGACTTATTGATCATTTGAGTGTCTGTTTTATCATAGGACAACATGCATGGTAGATAAACAAAATGGGGATAGCTCTTATTTCTTGAGTAAAATGAATTTACATTTCATATGTGGAAAGGACATTTTAGTGAAGGTTTGAAAAAGTTCTTGAGTGCATTCCAAGATGGATGCTTTTGGGTGACCAGAGTGACTGAAAAAAAGAAGACCTGAGTCTCACTTCATGATAGTGTTTTATGTATTTATCCCACTTTCGGCCACTGCTCCTGATCTTGTGTCAGCGGGTATTAGCATCCTGCATCCATGAGATGAACCATGAGATAAGCAATAGCAGTTCTTCAGTCCTTTTGAGCATTTCCCAAGTTATGTCTTCATTCCATTGTTTATGCAGGTAGAGGTATCTGGGTTAGACAAGCCTACCTGTAAGCATAAGAATGTAAAAAGTGCTTGTAGTAGGCTGGCTGGCAGAAGTTTGCAGCAGCTTGCACACTCCCGGCTGTAGGAGCCTACAGGTTGGCAGGGACTGCAGCTCAGCTAAGGGTAAAAAGGCTGCCTAGGAGAAGTGGACCCGCTGCAGAGCATACTTAGCTGGCCCACAGGAAGCTAAGAGGCTCCTAGAGAGGAAGCTATGAGGGAGAGTAGAAACAGAAAAGGAGAGGGTGCTTGGCTGGTGGCTGCAACATCAGGCCAAGGATTCTCCCACGGTCTGGTAAAAGACCCAGGGCTGAAAGGCTGGTGGCACTAACCCCGAGACCAGGAGAGGGCACTCATGTGAGAGAGAGAAGGAAAACTGCACTGCAGCATTGAGGGAGCAGCATGAAACCGGCAGCATCTTCTCAGGGTTGGGGAAGAGACCCCTGGACTGTGAGTCACCCATGAACTGTGTTTTAAGGACTATATCATATTTAAAGACTTTGTTGGCTAAGTAATAACCCTGAATCTGTACAGTGCCATATTGGAACAGACGAATGGTCCATCTTGTCTCTAACAGGATTGCAGGCTTAACTGCTCGACAGTTAAGTGGGTAGGAAGTTGGCTGCGGGGTAGGACCCAGAGAGTTCTAATGAGTGGATCTGTGTTGTCCTGGAAGGAAGTGGCCAGTGGTGTCCATCATGGGTCTGTGCTTGGTCCAGTACTTTTCAACATCTTTTATCAATGATTTGGATATGGGGGTGAAGAGCTCACTGGCCAAGTTTGCAGACAACACCAAATTATGGAGGAGCATGGTCACGCTTGAAGATAGACTGCAGATACAGGAAGACCTAGACAGGATGGCAGCTTGGGCAGATCAATACCACATGAAGTTCAACCTTGAGAAGTGTAAAGTGCTCCATCTGGGGACGAACAACCCCCAACATACTTACAGGCTTGGTGGCGCCAAACTGACCAGCACCACGACTGAAAGGGACCCAGGGGTAATAATAGACCCTAGTATGAACATGAGCTGTCAGTGTGATGCTGTAGCCAGCAGGACAAACAATACTCTGGCATGCATCAACCGATGCATCTCAAGCAAAACCTAGGAAGTGATTCTTCCACTTTTACTCAGCAGTGGTGAGACCACAGCTGGAGAACTGCATCCAGTACTGGGCACCTCACTTCAGCAAGGACGTGGAAAAGCTTGAGAGAGTCCAGAGGAGAGCCACCCATATGATCAGAGACTTGCAAGGCAAGCCATATGAGGAAAGGCTGAGGGACTTGGGCATCTTCAGCCTAAAAAAGACAAGGCTGAGAGGAGACTTGGTATCAGCTTACTGCAGCATCAGGGGAATACATCAAGGGCTCAGCGAACAACTGTTCACCAGGGCATCCTTGCGGGGAAAACCAGGAGTAATGGCCACAAACTCCTGGAAGACCATTTCAGGCTCAACATTAGGAAAAACTTCTTCACAATTAGGATGTCCAGAGTGGAATAAACTCCCTCCAGAAGTGGTACAATCACCTACCCTGGAAATTTTCAAGAGGAGACTGGACAGTCACCTCGCTGGGGTCACCTGACTCCAGTTGTCTTTCCTGCCTAATACAAGGGGACTAGACCTGATGATCTTGTGAGGTGTCTTCCAGCCCCTTACAATCTATAAGTCTATGAACAGTGGCTGAAGTGGATGCATTAGAGGGAGAGCATTAATCCAGGTATATAGAGTGACCTATCCCCTGCCTATTGCCCTCCCTGGCATCCATCATCATTGGGTTAGAGAAGTGAGAGGATACTTCTCTGACTTTTGTTTAATAGCTATCAATAGGTCTGTCATCCATGAATTTGTGTAGTCGGCCTGACTATACTATCTGCCTCTACAACCTCCTCTGGAAATGAGTTCCACAAGTTAACTATGCACTACATAAAAAAATACTTTCTCTTGACAAGTTCAAACTTGTCTCCTGCCAATTTCTGTTGGTGCCCTCTACCTCTAGTAGTTTGGGACTTGGTAATAGTTCCCTATTCACTTTGTCTACAACTTTAATGATTTTATAGACCTCTATCATATCCTCCTTCAACATTCTCCTTTCCAAGCTGAAGAGCTCTATACCTTTTATTCTCTCCTGGTATGGCAACTGAACCATACCTCTGTTCATTTTGGTTGCCCTCCTCTGTACCTTTTCTAATTCAACTACATCCTTTTTGAGATGTGGTGACCCGAACTGAATGCAGTATTCAAGATATGGGTGCACCATGGATTTATGTAGTAGCATGATGATGTTTTTCATTTTGTTTTCAATTCCCTTCTTAATGATGCTCAAAATGTTACTAGCTTAGAGCTGCCTGTGAGACATACCCACGTGGTCAGCCACGTCTATGCCTGGACTTGCAGTGAGCTGGGTTAAGATTTCTGGATCTGTATCTCATGGTTCTTAATACTGCAGGAAGTGGAGCCACCTAGACTTAGCTTAGGTTTTGGAAGAAAACATCTGTTGTTTTGAAGCCTCTGTGGTAAAGTGGTTTTTAACCCAGTAAACTGAAGCACTTTTGTCTCTGCATGCCCAGTGGTATGGCATGAGTCCAGCTATCGCTGCATGACTGTGAGAGTTGTTTAGTCCTCTTTGTCTCTAGTGGGTTATGGAATAGAGAAAATCCCACACAATTTACTGATTCGTTTTGATGCACTGGCTGGGGGAGTAGTTAGCTGATTGCACGATTTCACAATGATTACACACTTAATTCATACAACACAATTTTATTTTAAAACTCTTTGCTATGTATATAACACTGCTTAGCTTTAAGAAACACCACAAACATTAAAAACACAATAATTACATATATCAGAAACAATGCTCCGAATGCACTTCCTTCCCAAACAATGCTATAAGAATTAGTGTTACAAAAACAACTACAATTACAACTAAAAGTTAAATTTGAATCAATACTATTATTTTTTATAATATACTTACAATCCTAGAATTCCGAGAAGCCAAATACCAAAATATGGTTTCATTCCTCAGTAGTACGATTTAATGGGTTGGCCTCAGTAGTACGGTTCAATAGGCTGGCCTCAGCAATACGATTCAATGAGCTGGGCTCAGCAGTGATAGGACTAAGTCCCCTTCCTTCAGTCCCTTTCAGGTGCTCCGCGGCTTCAGCGTGAACTAAGAGATTCGTGTTCACGGAGAGGTTGGGTCAGGTGATCAATCTGGTCCGGGCTACACTTGCGATTCTTCCTTTGTTGTTCTGCAAGTGAAGTCACCTCCAAATTGGGACAGTAAGTTACAGGTTTTTATTGAGTGAGCTGCCGTCAGTGGGCTCCTCCTACTCAATTTGTCACTACTCCCAAATTTGGGCTCGGATCTTACTCAACAGAAATTACCTTTGTTGAGCATTTTAAATTACTCTTGGGGAGACTTCTTCCATATCACTGTAAATACCATTTTTTACCAGTCTGGTTAAAAGGCCTTGGGCTTTGATGTCTCGGAATTCAGGATATTTGCTCTCTTTGTAAAAGACTTCTAAAGATACAATTTAAATTAAGGCTTTAAGTGAAGTCAGGACATTTTTCACGTAGTCCCAAAACAATGAACTAGATAAGGAGATAAATCCTATCTTCTTCCTGAAACTGGCTAATGGGCAACCTTTACAAACATTCAAACTATTTCATTCAATATGACACTCTTCTGAAAACACTGGTGGGTGGAGGGGAGAAACTGATAGGATTATGGGAAAATTCAGTAGAGGGAAGAGTTTTTCACTTGTGTTCAAGCTAACAGAAACATCTTAAAATCAGTTTTACACATGATACCTGAACTGCCTGTAAATGAAAGACTCGGTTATACTTGTTTTAAACTGACCTTGTTTTTACAGTGGTTTTCAAGCAGACATCTGTTTTTTCCTTAATTGTTTTCAAAGCTATTTGAAACCTATTCTCACGCATAGTGGCCCTCCGCTAACTACCACTCTTCCCAGCTGGTGCGGTCTGATAGCTCGCTGTTTGACCAGCCCACAAGTTTATGATGTGAGTATTAACTTGTAGAGGAAGGGGATGGTAAGTTTTTTTTTTTTGGGGGGGTTTTTTGTTTTGCTTGGTTTTCCAAAGGAAGTTACTTTTACAGGAGAAGACCATGGAACTCAAAGATGCTACAAATGCTGGTTTGCCCTAAGCTGTGGTAGCAAAAGCCTTCACCATATCTGGCCCCTGGTGCCATGTCCTCCAGCCTGTGGGGCTCCCAACAGACTTATGGGGAGCCCCTCAGGCCATGGCCCTGTGGACTAGATCAGGCATGCAGGGCTAGGCAAGACCTGATCCTAGTGCATCAGACCCCGAGCCTGATACTGGTGCATGGGGGCAGCTCAGGGCTTCAGGGCCCAATCCCAGCACATGGGGCTAGGCAGGAGCAGTGCAGTGCCCCAGAGCCTGATCCTGGTACATGGAGGTGATGTGGGGCTTGATCCAGCCAGCAGATTGTACCTGCGCCACTTAAATGGTCCACAGGGCCAACACCTTGAGCACCACTGGTTTAGCATATTCTGTCCCTAGGACCATGTTTACTAGTGTAAATCAGACTAACTCCAATAATTTCACCTGAACTATACTGTCTTACACCCACTGAAGATGAGACCTGTATGTTGTCAGAAAGGACATGGATAATAGTCACACTTCATGGTATCAGGAGGTCATGAGGTCTGTTAAATCAGCTACTTAATCCCTTAAGAGCAGCCTGTTTCCCTTTCAACTGTCAGATGTTTAAGACAAAGATTTTCTCTTGTTATATTTGGAGTTGTATTATGATCTCCCATGGAAGAGACAGGACATCCCATGGACAGAGACAGGAAGAGAGAGGTTGCAAAAATTGAATCTGCAAAGTTGGTAAAACTTTTTCCCATTGCCAGGATACAGTTTGGGGTAATACTTCACAAATGGGTAATTATTTCTTAGAAATGGATAATCCAAAATGTTGTTATGCTGGTTTTATATAACCAGATCTCAAAATAGTCAATAATCCCTTCTCCTAATGCTCTTAAAATAATCGGATACACATCACTTGTGTCTAATGTGCCTATAACATCTACAACCCATTATATAATGTTTATAAATGGAATTGTGAATATAATCAAACTACAACTTTTAAATTCTCCAGTGTTGTAAGGTGGGTATCACATCACAGTTAATCTAAGCTTGTAACAGTGCAGCTGTGTGTTTAGTGTTATATCACTGCTACAACAAAGTTTGAGAAACTTTCTCATTGTGAACATATTTGAATTGTTTTTATTTAAAAGTAAAATGTTATAGACCTAAAAAATGTGTAATTTTCTGTGACACTGGCTGACTTAGCAGGCTCTATTAGTGTTATTGTTCCTATCTTTGGTGTGCCATGAGGAGTCATAAAACAGGTTTTACACTGGAAGTCATCTATCAGACACACTAGTATACTAGTGAACAGTCTGGGTGTCTCTCTTCATGATATCAGAGATAATTGTTTAGCTTCATATTTTATCCATCAACTGAGAGTCCAACCAGATAAGCAGGCAGGTTGTGGTTTTCCTTTACATCTGCAGGCTTATTTCATTTCCTCCACTTGCTTTTAAGCTTTCAAACAGATCATCAGTTAACTTTAATAGAATCAGTACAGTTTTCTTCTTGGAGTATCAGCCTTATCATACATTGCACTGCGTACAGGAAAAGGTCTCTTCAGGCTGCAGTTCTTAGTCTATTAAGCAGGTTTTAGCCACAAAGCAGGCTTTTGGTGTTTAAAAACAATACTGTGAAACTCTCACTCTGTCCTTTTATTTTTACCCTTCCCTCCCCTCCACATCTCCTTGGTGCTAAATTTAGGTATAGAGGGGGAAATGCATAATTTAAGCTTCAGTCGCTGACTTCTCTCCCAACTCCATGATTGTTTTGTGCTCATCCTTCTGTAGCTTTCAATACATGACTACAATTATGCCACAGCATTGAATACTCTCCAGCTTCTCACAGAGTGAAAACTGTATGCCATTTTCTCTGCTCCCAGTAGGTGCAATTGAATCATCATCCTGCCTGTTCTGGGACAAAAATCTGTCAGTAATGGATGAGCTTTCTTGAAGTACTTTCAACTAGTGCCCAGAGTAGAAATGATTATAACTGAAAGGATTAAAGAACAATATGAAATCTAGCTGGAATGTAATGCAGAAGAACGTTTAGTTCTGAAAAGAATAAGACAAATTACTTGCTTAAGATGTATCCCATTCTTCTAAGTTTTCATGTAGCGCTTTGCCTGAAGAAGTTATAGCATCTGCAGGTTGGAGTGAAGTATGGACACATGACTTCCCACTTTTCCCATTCTCCTTCTTTGGAGATGAGGAGTCATCCCTTTCTCTGCCTTCACTACAGACTTGGTTTAAAGTTACTTTGCTGTGTTTGTATGCCAACTGCTGCTGCTTGTGCACAGGTGCCCTAGGGATCAATGAGCAGGGAACCAGCTGCGGACACTGATTTAGAGGAGGCACCAAAATGATGACTCTGGAGGGGGGCCCATGCCATGGGGGCTGCTGCAGCCAGTGTGCAGGGAGTCTGGCTCACAGCTGAAGCCATAGCAGCTGAAGCCTGTGCCACAGCAGAGATTGTTGTCCTTCCTCCAACTTGCATTCGTATGGTTGGTGTGCAAGGTTCTGAATCAATATGCCTTGGTTATGCAGTGTTTTGTTTTGCTCTCTTCTTTCTTTTCTGTTCCCAAAGAAAAAGTACTCCGCACTAGCTTAACTGTGTGCCTCTGACATTTCCCTATAACTTCCAGTGGAGTAAAGTTAAACCAATCATATCTGGTTTTGAAAATCTGACCCAACACGTCATTCTGTACATCAAGTTTACAAGTGAGAGTAACAGAATGTAAACACTATTTGGGAAAAGCACTCTGTCATGGTTGCCATACTTTTAATTTGGGGGTTGTCAACTGGGGGTATGTGTACCCCTAGGGGTACTTGGAAAGGTCATAGGGGGTATGCTGCCGCCACCCACCAACCTGCACCACTCCTGTGCGCTACTTACCCACAGCTGGTCATACATACAGCTTTGTGGGCTGATGACAGGCAGCATGCAACTGGCTGGGCATGAAGCCTGTCAGCAGCCCATGGAGTTGCATCTGTGACTGGCCATGGGGAAGTGGGGGGGGGGGGTATGGGCCTGGGGGGGGCAGCGGCAGCATGGGGCAGTGACGGTGGCCACTGGCAAGTCCCCCTTCCCCCCCCCCAGCATCTGGCCGCTGCCACCAAAAGGGGTACATGTGCTAAAAAAGGTTGAAAACCCCTGCTTTAATTATTAAAAAGGAGTACTCTGGGTTTTTTCAAGTATTTAAATATCTCTCTGTTGAAGCTTGTAGTATTTGACATTAGTTCAAATTATCCCACCAAACCTTTCTCCTCCTGTTTGGAAAACATATCTATGTGCTGTCACCTGTTATTAAGAAAGCTGCATTTTATCAAAGGTTTTAGGTTAACAGCTTGGCTGTGGTCTTTGCACAAAAAGGGACAAACTGTGAAACTGCAGGTGTAAAACCAGCAGAGGAAGGTAAATTACTCAACTGAATAATATAAACTGACAAATTGTGGGATTATCAAACCTGATCCAGATTTTCAAATGTTAATATTTGAAAACTTTTCCTATGTAATTCCCCAGCAAAGATAACTTTGCTGAAATTATTTTCCCTATTTTACTAGCTCCAGGTCATACACCAATTTTTGTGCATTTTCTTGATGATTATGATGATGTTGCTGTACAGACTGACCATAAAGTAGAGAGATTTAAAATAAAGAGCCAGATTGTAAGGGAACACAGATTTTCTACCCCTATTACTTGATATTATTTTTGGATGAGAGTTTAGCATTTGGCAATAGAAGTGGTCATTTAAGTTATACATACTGTCTATGCTGTTAAAAGGAGGAATAATATTTAGTTTTAAACTGCTGTGCTTGTACATATACAGTATGGGCATTCCCATGAACATGTTTCACTCCTAGTTCTTCCCTCCGAGGTATGACCGACTGTAAATAGTGGTCCTAAGTATATTCTGATGTTTTAACCATTACTACCCCCAGCATACTTTCCCAGGAGTGTCACATTCTTAAAGACTCAAGTTGTGCCCTGACATATTTGAATGGGTTTCATGGGATACAAATTAATGCATTTCACAGTACTTAAATCAGGGCAGGATTTGACCCTATGTGGATTTTTAGGTAAAGTTTTGTTTGGTTTTGTTTAACCTGGCAAAATCGAATGGGTTAATAGCGAAGCAAAATATGTATTTCTTAAGTGAATTCAAATGACTCCTCCCACAGAGTTTTAGGGGATTGTAGAGGCCAGTTTAGGGTTATTCTTGGAGGAATTTCAAGTCCCCAGGGATGTACTTGGATAGGTTTCACATCTTTCTCAAAAGAATTGTTTGTGTTGCCTGGGACCCTTCTAAAGCACAGTAAGTTGATTCACACTTCCCTTCTGTTGGAAAATGTGCCGTCAGGACCTTACCTATGAAAGATGATTAGAGGACGTGTTCTGTGATCACAAGTTTCTTCTCATGTGTGATGTACCTGTTGCAGAAGCCCGGATTATCCAGGAAAATATGAAGCATGCTGCCTGTTGTTTACAAATGTAGCCAGAGGTGAAATAAAATGGTGCAAGCTTGGGTTGTAGAGGGCTGTATTGCTTAAATATCTTGAAATACTTTTTTTTTCTCAGTTAGCCGTGGAACTGATGGTATTTGTAAGTCTGTAAAATTGGCCGTATGGAGAAAACATGAGATTGGGGAGTGAGGATTATTTCAGGAATTGCTGTGCAGCATTAGACTTATAGTCCACCTCATGCAGCATCATTTCTTCAAAAGCAGCCAGAGCCCAAATACTCACAGAAGTGGACAGTTTAAGGAAAGATTTGCCAGTAAGAGAAATAGGTCAGTCCCTGCCTGGTGACATGGAGTGGTTTATTTATATAGTGGGCTGCAACAGTATAAAAATGTTGTATCCAGTCGACTTGGCAATTCCCTTGTGTATGCATATCTAGTCCTACTCTTATTAGATTGCTACTCTGCCATAATGCACAACCAACCCATGGAACCTTTTTTCCACAAGCTATCTGTTTTTATTAGGATTAATTTTCCTGCCTTTCATACTCAATGAATGTTCCCTTCCTCATGGGTTACCAGAGAAGGTAGATGCCTGGCTTACCTTGACTGAATGATCCATTGTTTATGTACCTTTGCATATCTCCCCTAAAAAGTAGACATTCCCTGAATTTTCAGTCTTTCTACAAATGAAAGCTTCTCTTCCCCCCCCCCCCACAACTGTCTATCAGTGTTTTTTGAACTCTGTATTTCTGTTGCATCCTTTTGGAGATATGGTGATCCGAACTGAGCACTGTATATGCTAGGTGAAAGCATACCACCATGCGCTTCTTCACTGGCTTCCACTCCATTATTATGCATCCTAAAATTTTATTCTCTCTCTTGAGCCCAGAGCTCTTCATCAGACCAAAGCTATAATAGTTTCTTTTCTGATTTGGAACCTGTTAGACTTTTATCAACCCACCATTGGCTTAGGTTCATCAACAATTCTCCATCCTCCTGTCTTTGACAATCAATTCAATGTATAATTAAATTAAAATGTCTACTAAAAGTATCTGCCGTCTGTGGAAAATGTTGGTATTGTAGTTAAATGCCAAAGACCAAGTATCTCAATTCAGTTTGGCTCTGGGGCAGAGGTGCTTCCTGGCAGTTGTGGGGCAGGTGTCCTGAAATCCCATTCTGCACAGCAGGCTAGGCGTTCTGGTCAGACTCTCTTCCCATTCTACACTGTGGCCTTAGGACTTTTTGGATGGTTATGGACTACATATCCTGGATAGACAGCTCGGCCCATAAGAGGGAGCATAGGCACCTGAAATGCATCTCTCACAAGGTATCACAGTGCCACTTAAGAGGAAAGTTTTCCATATTCAACTGAAATTTTACAGAGATTTCCACAGAAAACTCCGTTTAGGGAAGAAAATACTTCATTTGTGCTAGAATTCTGTGTTGGGTTGTGGCTTCACCCGCTCCACCTCTCAAATGTTTCAGAGAGCATCATGAGCTATAGTTTTACCCCAGAAACTTGTGGTTCCCCCTCACATTTGCCCAGGTTTTTTTTGTTTTTGTTTGTTTGTTTGGTTTTTTGTGGGGGGGTCTTAACTTTTTTCCCCAATCCCTGGCAACATTGTAGCTCCCACCAGGACTGCTTCAGTTATTGGTTAGAGTCTTATAAATTCATTTCTAAAAATCAAAAAGCACACAGGTTTTGCTTTTTTATTTTTTGGATCTGGTATTGTGAGACTGTTGCTGTTGGTTGTCTGTTTTAATATCAATTCAGTCCATTTACCTGATGCTGAATTAAGGTTTATTTGGCCAGGATTAAAAAAAACACCAGAAAAAAACAAATCTCTTTTTTTTTGTGCTTCCCAGTTAGATAGCTTGTTTTAACATGTGCATATTTTTTAGTTCATTGTCCTAATTTTTTAATTTCTTTTAAGAATTTGTGAATATGTAGCATTTGGTCCTAGTGACTGGCTCCTTTTGCTCTTCACACGTCTTTTTGATCTTTGAATTTAAAATCACAGAAAAGTAGGGCAAAGGGGCTTTTTGAGGTTTAGTCCAGTTTCCTACTCAAGGCAGGATTATCTCCATCCAAACCATCCCAGCCAAGTGTTTCTCTAATTGCTCTAACTTCCAAGGGTGGAGATTCTGCAACCTCTTTAGGTAGGCTCTGTGGATGTGGGGACACCAGTGGATGTATCTTGAATTTAGCAAGGCTTTTGATAGTCTCCCACAACATTCTCATAGGCAAGCTAAAGAAGTGCAGGTTGGATAAATGGGCTGTAAAGTGGATATAAAACTGGCTGGATCATCAGGCTTAGAGGGTAGTAGTCATTAATGGCTCGATGTCTAGTTGGCAGGCAGTATCAAATGGAGTGTCCCGGTCCTGGGGCCAGTTTTGTTCCATGTCTTCATCAGTGATTTGGAAGATGGCATAGGGTGCACCCTCAGCTAGTCTGCAGATGACACCAAGCTGGGGGGGAATAGTAGATATGCTGGAGGGTAGAGTTAGGATTCAGAGAGACCTAGACAAATTGGATGATTGGAACAAAAGAAATCTCATGAGGTTCAATAAGGACAAGTGCAAAGGCCTGCACTTAGGACAGAACAATCCTACGTACCAGTACATGCTGGGGACTGACTGGCTGGACAGCAGCTCTGCAGAAAAGGACCTGGGGGTTACAGTGGACAAAAACCTGAATATAAACCAACAGTGTGCCCTTGTTGCCAAGAAAGCTAATGGCATACTGGGCTGCATCAGTAGTAGCAGCATTGCAAGCTTATCAAGGGAAGTGATTGTTACCCTCTGGTCAGCACTGGTGAGGGCTAGTCTGCAGATGACACCAAGCTGGGGGGGAATAGTAGATATGCTGGAGGGTAGAGTTAGGATTCAGAGAGACCTAGACAAATTGGATGATTGGAACAAAAGAAATCTCATGAGGTTCAATAAGGACAAGTGCAAAGGCCTGCACTTAGGACAGAACAATCCTACGTACCAGTACATGCTGGGGACTGACTGGCTGGACAGCAGCTCTGCAGAAAAGGACCTGGGGGTTACAGTGGACAAAAACCTGAATATAAACCAACAGTGTGCCCTTGTTGCCAAGAAAGCTAATGGCATACTGGGCTGCATCAGTAGTAGCAGCATTGCAAGCTTATCAAGGGAAGTGATTGTTACCCTCTGTTCAGCACTGGTGAGGCCTCATCTGGAATACTGTCTCTAGCTTTGGACACCCCCCCCCCTCCTCTCCCCCCTGCATAAAAAATGTGGGCAAATTGGAGAGTCCAGTGGAGGGCAGTGAAAATAGTGAGGGGGTCTGGGGCACATGACTTCTGAGGGCAGACTGAGGGAACTGGGCTTATTTAGTCTCTGGAAAAGAGAAGACTGAGAGGGGAATAGCATCCTTCAGCTACCTGAAAGGTGGTTCCGAAGAGGATGGAGCTAGACTGTTCTCAGTGGTAGCAGATGACAGAACAAGGAGCAATGTTGGAGCAAGGGAAGTTTAGGTTAGATATTAGGAAAAACTTTCTCACTAGGAGGGTAGTAAAACTCTGGAACAGGCTACCCAGAGACATGGTGGAATCTCAATCCTCAGAGGTTTAAGACCTGGCTAGACAGAGCCTTGCCTGGGATGATCTAGTTGGGGATGGTCCTGCTTTGAGCACGGGGTTGGACTAGATGACTCCTGAGGTCCCTTTCAACCCTCACTTTCTGTGGTTCTATTAATGTAGCTTGATCCAGGGCTTGACCATCGTTATAATATGAACAGCTTTCCTTTTATCCAACACAAAGTGCCCTTGCTGCAGTTTGCGACCATTGCTCTTTGCCCTGTTCCCTATGGCCATAAAGATTAGTCGCCATCTTCTTTATAGCAAATACTTAGGTATTTGAAGACTGTTATCAAATTCCCCTTCAGTCTTCTCTTCTCCAAATTCAATGATTTCAGTTCTTGACCTTTTCCTTATTAGTCATGTTTCCAAAACCTCTGATCTTTTTCAAACCTACTCAGGAATGAAATCAATTTCCTGTTGTGTTTGGAACATTTACTGTACTTGATCTAGCATGGGATGTTAAGGCATTATTTTACCCAACTTAGTCAGCATTCCAAATTAGGCAGTTTCAAATTACCTATAAAATTGCATTGACTTTAAGATCATATACTATATTATTTGTTTGTTAATCCTGTAACAACCAACCCTGACTACAATAGCTGTACTATTAATCTGCTGCTTCACTTTAAAAAGAAGTAATGCTTTTATTGCAGTAGTTTTACAGGGAACTGTAAACTGGATTTCAAACTGGCTTTAAGAATTCTTAATTTTAGGATTTTACAGTCATTTTACTCTTAATGCTTATGTATTGCCCAATCAGTAAGATCATTCTGTTCAGTAATTTTTAAGGAAAAAAAGAATCTTGACCAAATAATGCAGTTTTTTTCGTTTCAGAATCAAGAACAGCTCAGAGAAGAGGATTCGGATTTTATCTTGAATGATGGTGACCTTGCTGTGACATATGGTGATACAACAATAACTGCTAATGGTTCTTCTGGCTCTCACACTGTCACCACTAGCCTCGATGGCAGGAGAACAAAAAGTAGTTCTGAGGAAGCACTGGAACGTGACTTGGGAACAGGAGATCATGAAGTTACAAGCAGGGGTACCAGACTGGTATTTCCTTTGGAAGACAATGCATGACTACTGACTCAGTAAAAATACTGCTGTAGCCCCATAGATGGATCAAGGAAGACTGCAGGCCCCAGTGCCACTTGAGGTGGAGATGACTGTTGAAGTAAACTAACGTGTGTATAAGTGGTTTTACTAAGGTCTGAAGATGTCAACCTTGACCTTTTCTTTTTTCTAATTCAAGCTGCTGACAGTGGGTTTTTAAATGTCTGAACTAGACAAGTGGAAAAAACTCCAGTTTCTTCTCTGAAAACTCCATATTGAATCTAAATACAAGTATGCTGCAGTTCTCACTTTACCTGCAACATCCTTCTAAGAAGAAATATGTGAAAATGTTACCCCCTAGTGCCAAGCTTATTCTAGTTTGGTTTAGGAAGGAGGGAGAGGAAATCCAAGCAAAGAGTAATTATTATGAGACTTAGTTATGTGGACGTATTGGAGTGTTGGGAGATCCAGTGTTAAAATGTTCTCGAAGAAGGCTTGAAGAAACTTGTCCTAAAACAGGATTCTAGGACTAGATGAATGAGTGCTGCACTTTTCTGGGATCTGTTACTATAACATAAACTGCACTTAATACATTTCAGGAAAAAGGGAAAATAGTGCTATACTACTTCATTGGCAATATACAGAAGGTAAAACAAAGAACAATTCAGTATTTAAATAGGGAGGCAGTGAATACTTTTTATTCCCTTTATTTTGGAGAACTTGACTATTACTGTTACCATATCACAAGAGAGAAATCCAAATTCTAACCATTCAACTCTGAAATGCCTGGCTCTTACCTCTAAGTAGATTGTCTGACATGATTAAGTTGTTAAAATCAGATTAAATAAACTGATGGGGAGAGGTCAGCTAATGTTACTCCAAAAGGCTACTAGCTTGCAGCATTGATGATACAAAACAGTATTGACCATATGTGAAACCACAAAGTTCCATATTTGAGAAGTATCCATGGATTCTGCTTCACAATTCTAGCCTGTGATGGGTTCAGTTGCAAATGTTTATTTAAAAAAGGGAAGCTAGTCCCATAGATTTAACCATTTGTTGTTATCTTAAAACAAAAGTATTTACCTTCATTTTTTTTTTCCAGTGTAGATGTGAAATTTCAATGGGGCGCTGCATGACTATATATAAATGATGCAAGTAACACGCACAGTAGTCCCATCTGACATGTAAAAAGGGAAGGATGTCCTTGCCTACTGCTTGGCCCATTCAGGTGTGACCAGCTTAACTTATTGCTTAGTGCTCTTTAATTCCCACATCAATAGATATTAGTGACTTATTGCAAAGAGCTAATAGCTAAACTATATTATCCCCCTTAACTGGAGCTCAGCTACTGACAGCATGCTTTATAATGTGAACTCATTCTTGTGTCTCAAAAAAGTTAGGATTTTTTTTAACCAGCTCATTGGCCCACTAATGTGATGTAATATCCGTTTGTTTATGATGTATTTTTTTCTTACTCCGCCATTTCAGTTTATTCTTTTCACAGAAATGATGTATGAGCAAAAGTTCATTCTCTTTTCTCCTTCACTATTAAACTTACCAGTGGGCTGGCTGACTGACTGACTTGCAAGTTACAACTGCCTAGCAGAACTTCAGCCATTGTCTAGGCCATTTTATTTCAAATAACTTCTTATTGACAATGATCTACCTCTTAATTTATCTTAAAGGGAGGGATTATGCTGTTTATAGGGCATCAGACTGCATCTGACAGCCAGTGCCTAAAAGAATCTAGGAACAAGATGCTAAAATATGTAAAACTTTAGTCCTACAGTTCTTTTGTGGGATAACCGGAAGGGTCATACATTCGTCTGCTTTGTTCGTAAGTGGCAAGGATAAGAAGCCTGCTTGAACATCTCTAGACAACAGAACTATTTAGACATCCCAGTTGTCTGCTGCTCCAAAGAACGATAGAGTGGCTGACACCATGTGTGTGTATTCATGACTCACAATATTTATGCAGTTCCATGGCTTGTTTCTTAAATACTGCCAGTGAAAAAAGTTGCTTTTTCCTAAACTATGAAAAGTCAAAAACAAACTTTTGTCAAACTTGAAGCCAAATACAGTTTTTCTGAGTGACAATTCATCACTTCAGACTTCCGCAAAAGAAAAAAAAAAAGGAAGTATTAATTTACCTTGACACACACGACCCTTTTAGGATCCAAGGGGCAGAAATAAATGGACTTGCCCCTCACTCTAGTGAGGCAAACTTTTACTAGCAATTCAAGACAGGCTGCAAAGCACAAGGGAAATTATACTGACGCTGAAAATGCAAAACCCTGTTTTGAATTACACAAGCCTATTTTTTATCTTGGGGTGGGAGAGTACGAGGGGAAAGGTTCTGTAAGAGTGCCAGATACTTAAAGCTTTAGCTTACTGCATCCCTACTACCAGGCTCACTAAAGTCAGGTTTATGTGGGCCTTGACTCTTAAGGTTTTTGATTCATCAACCCTCATTAACTTTAAAAATTAATATAGTTGCTGAACATAAGATTGAGCAATGGCTTAAATATGCAAGCTTAAAAAAAGTAATTAAGACTTAAACAACAGTGAATCTTGGTTTTTCTTACTTCAGTTTTAACCTCAATCCCTCCTTCCATTTCAGATTTTAATATAAATCCAGATGAACAAGAAAGCAATAGTGGCCTTGTCTGACTAACATGGAACTTACTGACAACTATAGGTTTGGTAAAGGACTCCTTCATGAAAAAACAAACAACCTAGGTTGTGAAAAGCATTTAATCTTTTTAATCCTTAGCTTTGAGTGTTTAACCTTCTCCAGTAGCACTCGAAGGTGAAAAAACAACTTTGTAGTTAGTGGGCTCTTTCCCATTATTCTTGTACTGAAATCTTGCTTTCCGTACTCTCTCTCTCTCTGTCATCTTCATGGAGCAGTGTGTCACCACGTCAGACATATCTTCACTACATGAATTAAGTTAAAATTTTCAAAGAAACATGGAAACTTACTAAAATACCCTGGGGGTTTTTCAAGGTGACCCAAATTTAGACTCCTGTAATGAAATTAACCAGAACTTAATGAAGAGAAAGTATCGGTTGCTGTGTCAGATAATTTAACATGCTCAAACATTTTGCTGGCTGGCACTAGCATCAACAATAAACTATTTACATGCCTATTTTGCCTTCACATTATCAGCTTAATGCTGAAAATTTCTATGGGACAGTCCTATCTTGACATGGCATTCTGGGGTGTTGCGAGATCCTTTGAGGGGTGCTGTACCTCTCCACCTATGTGAGGAGTAAAGCACTCTCCTCTTACTGTTTGGCTTCCCATACTGACTGCAGCATCTCACAAGCCACAGGCATCCCCAGCTGCTCCTCTTAAGGATTGCTGCCACTAATGCCCCCTCCACCCTCCAGCACACCTACATTGCCTGTGGGCAGGCAGGCAGATGTGTAGATAGCTGCACTTTTCAGACCCGCTCAACCCCTCAGCTTCTCCCACGCTCCCAAGGGCACAAGTGCGCAATATAATGAAGCAGTATGCACAACTCCAGAGGAGCAGCCTTGGCCGTAGTCTGTCCTTGCCCTATCAGATGTGGCCTGTGGGCACAGAGCAGAGGAAGACAATGGAAAGAACAGGGCACAGCAGTGTGAGGTCCTGCTCCCACCACCTTGCTTTGGCATCAGCTACATCCGTGTTTTCTTAACCTCTCTAACCTTAAAGCAGCCCTCCATAACTATTTTGAATTTAACTTTTAGCTCAGTAATCCCAACCAGCCACTAAATTCAAAACAATTATGGAGGGGCTGTCTTGGAGCTTAAAAGGTCACAAACCACTGGTCTAAGTGTAAGCATTCCCATAGTCATGTGTACTATATCTAACTTAAGAACACAATTTACCTAGAAAAGGAAATTGTGCCTCATCTTTGTATGTAGGAAGACTGGAAAATGGAGTCTGTTTGTAATCCTGTCAACACTCCACAGAAGTGAAGATAACACCTTGTTTAGCAACGCTGCTTTTCAGATACTTTGACATCCAATGTAAAATATGTTAACGTTCAAAACCAAAGCTTGAAAAGGTTGCTGTAGTGCAGTACTTGAGCAGGCTAAGAACTTGCCTAAACCACCTGCTGCATTTGTGTGAATACTGAAAACTTAGAGATGTTCTTTTCAGAGGTGGGATTTTGAAAGATGTAAGAAATCCAAAAACTTCTGACTTTACTGTATGTTAGTTTTTGGTTCAAGTTGCTATAGATATAAAACTAACATTTGGAGTGCGCTACTGTACAAGAGTTAAAATTAATCCTTTCCACTCATTTCTGCAAAACTGTGGATTTGTTAGTCTGTGAACTCTTATCAACAGAACATAGACATTTATTACAGACAAAACTATTAAAAGAACACTGTGGCTCCAGTCCAATTATATGCTCATGCTTTTTTTTCCCCCAGAGTACTTCAAGCTATGTAACACTTAACACATTCAAAGAATAGGTCCTCTTGACTTCAGTTGCAGCTGTGAATACTCAACACTCCTGCAGATAGGACTCCAATGTATCAAGTCAAATCCTTAGAACATAGTGCCTATCTGTGAAAAGTTTGTGACTTGCCCAGCATCATAAGAACAGAGATTAAATCCAGTTCTCCTTTGTAACATTTAACTACCTTCATTGCTTCATTCGCTATTCTCCTTCCAAATTGTTTAAAAAAAAAAAAATGAAGCATGGTTTTATAAGCCAGCTTCTTTCATTACCCACCCATAGGCAAATCCAGGATTTTGTGATGTGGTGTGTGCTGGAGCAGCGACTAGAGTTGCAGAGGTGAGTTGACTCTAACCCTTCCCCCATTGGGGTGGGCAGACCATGTCACAGGAGCAGCAGCCAGGGACTTTTTTTTTTTTTAAGTCTCTAAATCAGATAAGAACCCAACCCCTGCTCTCAGCACCCCCACCCTGCCCATCAGCACTTCCTCTCTCCCACTCCTGCTGTTGCCACTGTCCTCAACTAACCCCGGGCACAGGGAGCTCCCAAGCTGCTTCTGCTAGGCTGTATGGGGTGCCCCACTCAGCCAAGGGTAGCAGCAGCAGATGCATTCTCTCCCAGTAATCCTGCTTCCAGCCTGGCAGCGAACACCCAGGAGGTGAAGGGAGGGGCAGCTGGGCAGGGAGGAAGAAACTGCTAGCTGCTGCTGCTGTCCCCAGCTGAGTCCAGTGATCAAGCTCTGCCTGCCCCTGGGTCAGCTCAAGGAAGTAGAAGGGGGGGGTGGGAATGGGGAAGGAAGTATCACTGAGTGCAGGGGGGGAGTGGGGACAATTCTTACCTGTCTTGGCACACTGCCTGGTACCACCCAGCTCCCAGCCACCTGCATTGTAAGGGCTGCCCCCTCCCCAGTACAGCTGAAGTTGAATTGCTTCCTCCTCCAACTTCAATGGGTAGTAGCAAGGGGCTCATTGAGAACACAGGTGGGCTCACTAGTTACGGTTCTAGTGTCCAGCTCTGCTCAGGTCTGGAACAGCCAAACACAGGAGGAGTCTGGCTTTACCTGAGTAGCCCTTGGCTAGAGGCAGTACATTCAGTTGTCCTGTAGAGACGGTAGATGTTCTGTCTGGTCAGCATGAGGGGAAGGAAGAGGCTCTACATACCTTTATGTGCACAGAACTTTCAGAGATCTTTGCTGTTAAAATCTACCACCCTGACCTTGGCCAGATTTGGACAGAATTTTTTTGTGTTAAAGGACACCTGCTTGACAAATTTCAAGTCCCTCCTCAAAAGTGTGATCATTTTACTATCATCCTTTTGCCTTCAAGGAAAGGATCTGTGAATCTTTCACATTCTGAAGTTCTGACTTGCTCAGAATAGCTTGTTCAACCTCACGTTTTTGCTCTGTCCCTGCACCAGAAAGGGAGTGGACAGAGGCATGCCTTTTAATGGAAATTAAAAGGCATGAAAAGTTAAGTTTCTGAGGCAGGAAAAAGGTCCATTAGAATAAAATCAGCACTTTCAACTGAATCAGCCTGTGGCCATTTATTTTTCCAAAAATGTTCAGTGAGGCATGTGAGCATTAGGAGTAAGGCTTCCTGGCATACAGTACTTTCAACAAGGAGACCAAGGTCAGCTAGCTTGGGAGGAGAGGGGAAGGGAATGGGGGGAGAAAGGGGGGGTGGGGTCAGTGGCAACAGCAAATGCCATCATTTAATTGCTAGGGAGCCTGTTTTTTTCTGGTTAAAAACATCCCCAATTTTCAGATTTAAAAAAGTAACCCCAAGTCCACATGTATCCATGATTAAAATGAAACACCACTAATATATAAGCCTATATATTAGTGGTGTTTCATTTTAATCATGGATACATGTGGACTTGGGGTTACTTTTTTAAATCTGAAAAATCTGTGTGTGTTTGTTTCATTTAAATTACGGAAAAATGTGGATTTGGGGTTACTTTTTTTTTAATCCAAAAATTGAGGATTTTTTAAATCAGATAACCAGGATCCCTGCTAATCACAAAAGATCCAGTCTAAAGTACATGAAAAAGGTGTCCAGTGTAGATTATGGGGTTAGAGGACATTGTGTAGAAAAAGTAACTTGAAGGGTGTTATATT